CAACTTCTTTTCAATCATCTTTATTTATTATTGATCTATTTTTGGAATCCCCGTTTCCAATGTAGTGAGTATAGCGAAGTCTCCTTTTGTCTATAGATTTCATTAATTAATCTATAATTCTAGAAAATTCAAAGCAGAACCTTCATGATTATTTAAACAACCATGGGCTTTCAAATTTTTTTTATAAAGTTCTGGATCGCTATCTTTTCTTGATTCCTATGATGTAAAGACATATGATCTACAGTCTCAATTGTCAACATATTTCCCCTGAGTCACTAGAAGTAACAGTAAAAACGACATTAAGAATAATGTTGTTAAGATTACTGTTTATTACTGCTTGGAACCATTGTAAAAAGGTTTTGTCTAACGCCAAAGCCCGCTATTCTTAGATCATGAAATCTCGTATTTCATCATGACTTCTGGAGAATCTTAAATAGTATCAATAATAAGGGCAAGTTTGTAATTCCACCTCTTATGTATGGTTCAGACTCATAATCATAATGTCGCCTCACCTAAAGACAAAGCTGAATTATTTGATAAGAACGTTTCATTAATATCATCTCTTGGTTCCACTAGTTGCGTTCTACCTGATATACGTCAAACAGTTTGATCCATTGTTTGACATCCATATCACTCCAGCTTCCGTATCTAAATTGATTTCCTGCTTAGACTCTTCTACAGCTTGCGGCCCGGACAACATCCTATTATAGTCTTGCAGAAGTGTCTTCAGGAGCTGTTGTCTATCCTTTCAAAACTATTCAACAAGTGCTTATCAGAGTCTTGTTTTCCAGCGTGCTGGAAAACAGCATCTGTTATCCCTATTTTCAAAATTTCTGGAGAGCGATCCGATTTGTCTAACTACTGTCCCATTAGTCTTTTTCCTATCATATGCAAGGTTTTTGAAAGGTTTAATTAATAAACACTTAATCCCTAATCTTGAATCTAATAACTTACTATCTGATCATCAATATGGATTTCGATCTTCTCGTTTGTTAACAGTAATAACCGATTGGTTTTATCGCGCATTAGATCAAGGTGGAGAGGTTAAAGTCATCGCTCTTGACATTTCTAAAGCGTTTGATAAAGTTTGGCAAGCTGGTCTTCTCCATAAACTTTCTTCTTACGGTGTATCTGGAAACATCTTTAAGATTATTGAATCTTTCCTTTCCAATTGCAGTTTAGAAGTTGTCCTTGATGGACATCACTCTTCTTTTTATTCTGGAACCTCAGGGGTTCTTTAAGGTTTAATCCTTGGTCCTACACTCTTCTTAATATATATTAACATTGTTCCGATATTCTCACATCTAAGGTGGCATTGTTCTCTAATGGTACTACCATTTATTTTTGTCACGATAAGAAGCCAACTTCCTCTGATTGGTTGCAGGGGGCATTTGAGCTTAAAAAGGATCTTGCTTCTACTGCAGCATGGGGCTCACAGTGGCTGGTAAACTTTAATTCAGATAGGACTCAATTTTTTTTAGCCAATTGTTATCGCAATAATTTAGATCTTCCTATATTTATGAACGGTAAAATGCTTGATGAGTCATCTATCTTTCATCTTCTAGGATTAACTCTTAAATCTGATCTTTCTTGGAAACCTTATATCGAATCCGTTGCAAAATTAACATCTGCTAAAGTTGCATCTTTTTATCGAGTTCGACACTTTTTTACTCTGGATTATATTTTCTATATTCTATTTTCTTCTCTGCTTTTCTTTCTCTTTTCTAAAAATACTATAATGTGCACTGCTCTAAAGAGCTAGCGTCTCTTGTGTTACTCGTCATTCAACTAAGTCTCATCCTTTTTGTGTTACTGTTCCTTGGCGCTTTAATAATTCGTCTAGTTTTTTTTCCTCAAACATCAGTTCTTTGGAATTTACTTCCTCCATCTTGCTTTCCTGATTCATATAATTTGCAATCTTTTAAGTCGTCTGTCAATCGTTATCTTGCTCTACAATCTTTTCTTATCTTATCATCTTTTCTCTTCCAGTAACTTCCAAAACTAATCAGTGGTTGCTTGCAGCTTTGTTGGAAGCGAAGATGTTTTTTTAAAAAAAAAAAAAGATATCTCAATTTATTTGCTGTATTTTTCATTTTCACATCAGTTACACTTTGGTATATAATATAAATTTTATCTTAAGTATCATTAAATAAACTTTTATGTTAATTGGATCAGGTAAATTTATTGGACCACAAAATTTTTCCAAAATTAAAATGATCAAGTCCAATCTCATTCATGACAACAATAGATTTGTAATTTATTTCAAATGATGACATTTCTGAACCTTGCATTTCAGTCTCTTTGCTAGAATAAAAAGACTGTTTCCAATTGCACAAAGATGTTGTACAAGAAATATTTTAAAACACAGCAAAGCCTTTCTTTTTTAATAAATTAGTTGAAATTTTAATTATGACATAAGGGACAACGTCCAATTAAAGTAACAATTGATTTAAAATGTCTGTGTCAATAAGTATAAAGCATGAAGACAAATTATTTGAATCTATAATTTTTGCATTACTATTTTTACTGCTATTGACATTTTTGAAGATGTTGATGTCAAGAGTGCCGATTAAGAAGTTGAGTTTCAAGATTTTTGACTGCTTTCCCATCAAGAAGTTAAATTAATGCTGGCTGTTCATGCTGAGGAAAATTATTTTTCTTTAAATTATTTTTTTTGTGGAAATATCATGTAACCACCTGCTTTCCTTCTTAAATTTGAATGACATTGATTGTTTCCCATAATAAAAATAAACACGAGGCAATTGAAGTATAACACTAGGCTGATAGTTTTCTTATAAATAATATTTGTAAACATAGTAATTGTACTTAAAAATCATGGCTTATTTAGTAAAATAAACATGAAACAGTTACTGACCAGTCAGGACTTTGATATCATATTTATATCAAACTATGATGTATATGATATCATAATATGAGACGCTTATGATATTAATACGATATCAAAATGAAATCAATCATTGATATCATTTTGAAATCAAACCCTAATATCATAATGAGAAAAGTTTATAATATCAATATGATATCAATACAAAATCACTCATTGATATCATTTTGAACTCAAACCATGATATCATAATATGAGAAGTTTATGATATCAATATGATATTAAAATGAAATCACGCATTGATATTATTTTGAACTAAAACTTGATATCAAAATATGTAAAGTTTACGCAAAACTTGTTATCATAATAATTCCGCTATAATTTTTTTATTTAACTATATTTTAATAAAAAACATTTTATTTTTATTTTAACTAGTTATATTTTTATAAATAATACTTTATAATTATTTTAAATAAGTTTCTATTTATTTAGTAAAGTTAAATTATATGGTATAAATAACAGTTTTTGGTGAAAATGATCGATGTTATATTATATAAATATAAATATAAATTTAATATTATATTACAAAATGATTCGATAAATAAGGTCAATATAATTAATAAGAGTTTTATTTGAAAAAAATAATAGATAGTAAATGTTCAGGTAAAGCCATAACAAAAACATATACATAAATAATGTCACATGTTGCTTTCAGATAAAGATTTAGTAAGTAAACATCATTATAATAATGATGTGTACTTACTAAATCTTTATTTGAAAGCAACATGTGACAATATTTGTGTTGGACAACAAAATTTAATTAGTGAAAAGTATTTGTATTTTTCATTTGACTACCTATATTGTGTACTTGTAATTTTTGACGAAATAAAATTTTCTTACTTACTTTTTGTTTCAAGTCTGTTAGAAATATTTAGCATTAAATTTAAAAAAAGTTGAACATATATTTTAACATTTCTAATGTTTAATGTTTTTTTCGATTATCAAATATAACAAAATGATCAATTTTAATTTCACTTAATGTTGTTTATTCCTATTTTTTATATAATTTATTACTACATTTAGCATATATTTTATTTCTATGAGAACGATAAATACGTTTTATCATACTTTTAAATTTATTGATGAAAAAAATTTCAGTGGTTGTTTTTTATGTAAAATGAATATCAATTAATATATTTTCGATAAAAGATCTTACAAGCGAGGTCATTTACAAAGAGTTAAAAGCTAATCTTAAGTAAATACCATGAAATAGGATTTATAATACAAATAATGATAAGAATAAGAATAATACAAATAGGGAGATTTACAATTATGATAAATTGAAAGTTATAAGAACATTAAGATAATTATATGATGATAGACCAATATCAATTTTAAAAAAACAGTTGAATATAATTCACAGACAGGATTTTTACAAACAGTTACGTACTGACAAAACGAAACAACCTACCATGTAACTAAAACAAATAATGAAAAAGTTTCTTCTGACTTTTTTTCAATCAACGACGGTAAGACCTGATAAATATATATATATATATATATATATATATATATATATATATATATATATATATATATATATATATATATATATATATATATATATATATATATATATATATATATATATATATATATATATATATATATATATATATATATATACATACATATATATATATATATATATATATATATATATATATATATATATATGTATATATATATATATATATATATATACATATATATATATATATATATATATATATATATATATATATATATATATATATATATATATATATATACATATATATACGACGGTATATACAATCAACGACATATATATATATATATATATATATATATATATACATATATATATATATATATATATATATATATATATATATATATATATATATATATATATGTATATATATATATATATATATATATATATATACATATATATACGACGGTAATATACAATCAACGACGGTAAGACCTGATAAATATATATATATATATATATATATATATATATATATATATATATATATATATATATATATATATATATATATATATATATATATATATATATATATATATATTGTTATTTAATTAGGGCTAATTACTTGATCTAGGTGATTATCAAGGAAGCAGACAAAACGAGGATTACTTTGGCAGAAATTTTGATTACATTTTAGAATTAAAAACTTTTGAATATTCAATATCAAACAGTTTCCTTCAAAATAATGATGAACAGGTACAGAATTGGCATGTTCAACGATTTTGTGTGGTAAACAATGCTCATGGTTTTTGGAAAAACAATGTGTATAAAACTGTAGTTGCGAAAATTGATAATAAAAATAAACATGAGATGCTTTTGAATAAACTTGCTTCAAAATCAAAACTCAGTAATAATTTTAAACCAACCTTTTGGTTGTACGGTGATTCAGTAACTAAAAACTTTTTTAAAAACTTAAATACGACTCCGCTGTGTGAAGTTTTTATATGTCAGAACACATACACATGGACATACCCATTAACAAATTCTGATCCACATACTCAACCATTTGACAACAAAGATTTTAACCAAACTGAATTTCTCTATTACATTAAAATGGTGCTGATGGATCCTACGATGATGCATAATGATAGTGTTTTAGTTATCAACTTCGGATTACATATATTGAAAAATATTAATATGAGTCAAGCAGAAAAACTGTTTGATGCCTTTATTGATATGGTTCTGGATATTAAATCAAAATCTTTATTTGGTTTTCCGAAGATTTTATGGAAAAGTACAACACCAGCGTATGTAGAGAACATTTTTCGTATTTATCACAAAAGAAACATTGAAAGAACTCTAGTTAAACAGGTTATCATATAAGTAAAATAATAAGTATAATTCCAATATATAAAAAACTATTTTTTACATACATACATACATACATACATACATACATACATACATACATATATATATATATATATATATATATATATATATATATATATATATATATATATATATATATATATATATATATATATATATATATATATATATATATATATATATATATTGTATATACACACACACGTTTTAGGTTACTATTTTTTTTAGAGAGCAATTCAATGGAATTTATTTTGTGTAAAAAAAATGTGCCAAGTAAATTTACCTGTGTTAGATGTATATTGGATGGCAGCATCTTATCCACAAGGACCATATGATGCTGTTCACTACGATGATTACGTATTTGATGCTGCAGCTGAATTTTTAGTTAATATATTTACTTAGTCTCACAATAGTATAGTTAATTAATCAAATATTTTTTACTGAATGTCAATAACTTATGCTTTATATATATATATATATATATATATATATATATATATATATATATATATATATATATATATATATATATATATATATATATATATATATATATATATATATATATATATATATATATATATATATATTTATATATATATATATATTGTTTAAGAGAATGTCAGACAAATTTTTTGGGGATTTTGTTCCCAAACTCCAATCATCGTAATGGAGGTACCAGTATTTTTTAGTCTTTGTGATTCGCAACTTCCACACATTGAGTAAACTCCAAACATTTATAAGTTTATATTTATTTTAAATAAGGATACTTTGCAAAAATTAACAATGATTGGATATTGCAAACTAAAAAACCTTAAAAAAAGATGGCCGACACTCCACCAAACGTGAGAGCAACAAGATTTTAAATAGATTTTGTACAATTTTCAAATAGACTTATAATTATCGATAAATTTTAAGCTTCACAGTATCATTTCTTAGCGTTCCAAAATTCTGACCATATAAAGTTTAAACTCCCTCCATTATAGGGGATTGCAAACTTTAAATGGTTATAATTTTTGAACGCTGATAAATAATACTATGAAACTTAAAACTTATTGATAAATATAAGTCTAGTTAAAAATAGTACAAAAGTATGTTATCAACTTGTTACTCTGACGTTTGGGACTTTGTCGGCAAATTGTTTTTGTTTTGCTCCATGTCTGGATAATCTCAAAAAGCAAAAAATGCTGGCGCCACCACTGAATCCAAGGTACTATCTTTTTTTTTACCTTACAAGAAAAAAATAATAATTTTTAATAGTTTTTTGTTATTGTATTCAAATTTTTATTTGTAACTTAATGTGAAGTAGTTAAAGAATAATTACTGAACTATTTAACAATTACTGAAACTATTTCATGAAATATAAAATAAATTTGAATGAAATATAAAATAAAGACAACACATCAATGATATTGATACTGCAAAACAATACTGATATGTTAATGGCTAAACTAATTAGAAGAATAAAAACAAACCTGAAGAGTTTGATAAAAATTGTTTGTTTATGAATTTTAAATAAAAAGTTTTCAATGTAAATTTATTGGTTTTAAATAAAAACCAGAGCAGTTATAAATTAGTAAAAACACTTACCTATTTATGACTATCAAAGAAATTAAGATTTTACTAAATTATTTTTGTGTATATTTATATACATATAAAAAATAGTTATTATATAGTTAAGGCATAATAATTATAATAATATTATATATAATACATAATCATTATATAAAGAATATAAGTAATGAAAAATTTCATGAAAGTATAACTTGCATAAAATATAAATACATATATATATATATATATATATATATATATATATATATATATATATATATAAAGACATGAATATATATATATATATATATATATATATATATATATATATATATACATATATATATATATATATATATATATATATATATATATATATATATATATATATATATATATATATATATATATTTATATATATATATATATATATATATATATATATATATATATATATATATATATATTTATATATAAATTAAATTTTAAACGCACTTGGTTTATTATAAGAGAAATTACTGGCAGCAAAATATGTACATCTTACTCTTTGCCAAACTCGGTTGAACATAATAATGAATTTTTGTAAGATAAAAGACAAATTACGAAAGAATTTAATAAAGATGAAATTTTTTATGATAAAAAAACAAACTACGGAAGAATTTAATAAATATTTTGTGTCTGTAGGACCAAATATGGAAAAAAAAACTCCTATAGCTTACAGTTTAATGAATGATTTTTGTTTTCCTCTGAACTCTTTTGAATTATCTTTTAAAGAGTTTAAAAATGCCTTTAAAATGTTAAAATCTAACAAAGCAGTAAGCCCTGATGGTATTAATGGCAACATTAATATAATTTTATTTGATGTTCTAAAAAATATACTCTTTAAAATTTTTTCAATATCAATTAAACAGGGAATTTTTCCACAAGCTCTAAAATTAGCAAAAGTCATACCAAAATTAAAAAGTGGTGACATTGAGAATATAAGTAACTATCGCCCTATTTCACTCCTTTCTGTATTCTCTAAAGTTTTAGAAAGAATTTTCTATAATAAAATTTATAGTCAACTTACTTTAAACATTTTATTATACAGCAATCAATATGGATTCCAAAAAAATAATTATACTGAACATGCCATTCTACAATTTACAAGAAATATATCTGACTCGTTTTAAAAATCTCAATTTACTTTAGTCGTTTTCATTGATTTGGCGAAAAGTTTTGATATTAGGATAGATTAGGGTAATATGAGCACCTTGGTCATATGAGCGTACTTAAAGATTTATTAGATGTAAGCAGTGAAGTTAAAGTTGCTTTATGTTTTTCGAATCGACTTTATGTGGTGATAACAAGAATCAGTACAATTAGCGTAAATTTATACGCAGTAATTAGCGGATATCTTCTAATTAAAACGCTTTTAAATTTTTTGCTTTGTTAAAAAAAATCACCACGCGTGAATAATTCTATGGTGCGATATTTTGGTGCTAAAATAATGAAATTAATTTTTTCATAAAGAAAAATATATAACCGAAAAATCCAATTCATTTTTGTTTGAAAAATAATGCATAAAAACATTTTTTTTTGACTTTATTTAAAGATACCAATTTTGTGTAATATGAGCATGTTCAAATTACCCAGTGCTTTTCATTAAAATTGCTTAGTTTAAAGTCCTAAAATAGCAGTGGTTTTTAATTGCTTTTTGAATAAAAACAAAACATAGTAAAAAATTTTAATATATTAACAAAACTAAATATTTTTCTGTAACTTAAATATATAAAAAATTTTAATTTTTATTGTTCAAAGGATTGAGTTAACAAAATTGAAAAAACAATGTATTCAGTTTTTGTTTTTTTTTGCGGAAAACATAGTAGAATTGTTTCAACAAAATGTAGCTTAAAATTGATCTTTTAATGATATGTTTTGTTAATCACGAATCCTTATATTCCAACAATTAGTTCTATTAAGCAGGTTGGTCTTTTTTTATTTAATTAATGCTATTTTTTTGAGCTAATTTAAAGTGCTCATATTACCAAGGGGTCAGGGTAATACGAGCACTTTTGTTACTTTTTTAAAACCTCTGTGTTTTTAAGAAAAAATGTCAAGTGACCAAATATCAAAATAGATTATGAATAGGGATCCCTAAAAATTGTTTATTTGCAAAAATTTTGGATCCAGCATATTTATTTTTGAAAATATTTCAATTTTTAGTTAAGGTGCTCATATTACCCTAATCTACCCTATAGATCACGAAACTCTTTTTAAAAAGTTGGAGTGGTACCGAATTACTGAAAAAACATTAATTTGGCTAAAAAGTTACCTAAATAATCGAAAACAATTTGTTTATGCGGATGATAAAGTATCATCTATTTGTTAAATATTTCATTTGGAGCTCCTTAAGGATCCATATAGGACCTCTCCTATTTTAATATATATTATTGATCTACCAAAAGCTTCTAACCTAATGACAGTTATGTTTGCCTATGATTTTAACTCATTTCTTTCTCATAATAATATTATTACACTTTTAAGCAATATGAACATTGAACTAGTAAAAATTTCCAAATGGTTTAGATTAAAATTACTAAATATTGATAAAAGCTGCCTAGCTACTTACCTTTTCTATTTATCGATAACATAGTTATTAACAGAGTTTTAGTGACAAGATTTTTAAGTGTATATATCGAAGAAAATCTTACATGGAAATGTTACATTGCTAACTTGTGCAGTAGAATTTCAAAGAGTATAGGCATACTATACAAAAATAAGAAACGTTCTTGATAAAAATACCTTAATTCAATTATATTATTCGTTAATTCATTTAACAGTTCACGAATTTCAGTAAAGCCATATCAACTATGCAAACATTGCTTGGGGTAGCACTTATAAAAGTAAACTTAAACCTCTCTATCGGCAACAAAAGCATGTAGCACGCCTTATAAATTTTAAGGACCGTTTTGCTCGCGCCAAGCCTCTTTTATATGATATAAAAGCACTCAATATATATGAGTTGAATATTTTTAATATTCTTTGCTTTATGTATAAATGCAAGACCCACCTATCAACCGTTTCTTTTCGTAACTTGTATTTACAAAAAGATAGAAAAAATATTTTCTGAGGAACGATAACTTAATTCAACAACCATTTTCTCAAACTAATTTTAGAAAATTTTGTATTTCGTTTGGCGGACTATTTTTATGGAATGGTATAGTTCTAAATATTTCTAAAGATTTTTCTCAAGAATGTAATTTTGATTATTTTAAACAAAATCTTAAAAAACTCATTTTTTCAACTCAAAATATACTAATCTACTTTTAAATTTTTGAAAATCCCTTATCTATATTAGTATATGTATCTATTTAACATTCTTTTTTATTTAATTACTTTTTATCAACAAGCAATTATTTAACATTTTTTATTTTGGTGAATTATTTAACATGTTTATGTTTCTTACGTTTTAGAACTCTTATATTGTAATATTGTATGTTTTTTTATAATATTATATTTCGAACTTTATATACTTTTATTATTAAAATTAATTTTGTAATAAAAAGAAATTGAACAAAAATAAATAAATTTAAAGAATGAAAACATAGAAGAAAAAAAATTAAAAATTAAAAAAAAAAACGTGCAACAGCATTTTCTCTGTGACAAGACCTGATGGATTTCTTTGAGTACCCGTGTTCTTTATAATTACTTTTATTCTTTATTAATTAACAATATCTTGGCTTGTTACCTTTTCTTTTTTCTTTTTATAATATTTGTATCTGTATCATAAATAGTGTAAAAAAGAACAAAAAAAAGAACATAACTTTTATATAAAAAATATAATATATAAATAAAAATATATATATATATATATATATATACATATATGTATATATATATATATATATA